TCGCGGGGCGGTGCGACTGTAGCGCGAGACAGCTACACATCCCCAGCCTCCTCGAAGCCGGGTTTCGCGAGGAACGCCCTGGCCGTTTTGGGGAACGTCTAAGATCGAATTCCGCAGGTCGAACTTCGAATCTGCAACTTCGAGCTTCGAACTTCAAGAGACGTATGAAGGGTCGGCCGAAATGGGCGGGGCGACGTCATGCGGACGCACCCACTGGGGCCCTCGGTGGACCTCCCTGAGCGAAAGGAAACGTGAGCGGGGCGGGGCGACATTGGCTAAGTGGCGCCATGCGACCGCAGCCACTGGGGCCTTCCCTGGGGCCCCCCATGGGGCCACGAAGCGCGCGAGGGGCGCGCTGAAATGGGGCAGGGACGCATGCGACAGCAGCCACTGAGCCTTCGCTCGAGCTCCCTAAGGGGCCACGAAACGTGTGAGGGGTGTGCCGAAATTGGACGGGGCCGCATGCGACCGCAGCCCCTGAGGCATTCGGTGGAGCCCTCTATGGGGCCACGAAACGTACGAGGGGTGCGCCGACATGGGGCGGGGCCGCATGCGACCGCAGCCACTGGGCCGTTCGGCGCGCGCTGAGATGGGGCGGGGCCGCGCGCAACCGCAGCCACTGGGGCCTTCGGTGGAAAAGCGGGCCGAAAGAGTCGCCTTGCCCTCCGCCGCCGCCGTCGCGCCGCTCGGCCCCCGCCCTTTTTTCCCGCGGGCGCGAGGCTCTCCCAGCCCCTCGAGGGTTCAGATGGAAACGTTTTGCGCCGTCGGGGGCTCGGAGGGAGGAGGTCCGAACCCATGGGGTGGGGGGCCGAGCGGGTCATGTTGCCCTCCGCTGCCGCAGCCGAATCGGTGGGACCCTGCCTCGCTTCTTGCGGGCGCGGGAAACTCCCAACCCCCGAGGGCAACCCTCCAAGTGGAAGCGAATCGGGTCCTCGGGGGTTCGGGGGGGCCCGAAACTATGGGGAGGGAGAGGGTGGCCGAACGAGTCGCCTTGCCCTCCGCCGCCGCCGCCGAATCGTTCGGCCCCCACTTGCCCTCTCCAGCCGCTGCCGAGTCGTTCGGTCCCCTCTGCCCGATTGAATGCATGTTGAAACAATCACATAACATGTAAAAGCATTCAGCGGGAGGTTGTGACCAACGCATGTCCTGTTGAAGCCGTAGTGAAATCACATCGTAGATAATCATTAGATCGGCGGAAGGCCATGGTCGGCGTAGTTCCTCTCACATTCCAAGCGGAAAGCGCATGGGCCATTACAGAGTGATGCGGAAGACTGGGATCAGCGAATGTCTTGCTGCACGTACATGTTGACACAGAGTAAACTAGTATATTAATGGTACTGAATGCTCGAAAAAGCTCGTTCCTGTGATTTGCACACATGAAGCCTGCATTCGAGTTTCACTTTACATCTCAAGTGTTCACATGTGCGCGATGGGCTTCTCATTACGAATTGTCTGGTTGCCTGCTGGATATCCGCGCTCTGTTTTGAGCACGTTACTGTTCACTGACGAAATCCCCGCAGTTCTCACATGACAGCCACGCAACGCGAAGCTTCAAACAGCTGTCGTACGAAAGTCGTCTAGTTCCCAGCCGCCAACCGTAAAGCTCCAGTTCAATTGACGACAGCTCCCAAATGTCAGAAAATAAACTAAGACCAATTCCACCTGGGGCACTCATGCTGCTTCCCAGAATGTCTGTCTACTGTTATGGCGTGCGTTTGTTGTCTGAATAGTTTCCAGTGCTGTACACATGGAATCCCATTGTCGGCTCAAGATGGCTGGTTGTAAGTGGTGCCAAGTGGTTTTGCTGGCCAGTTGAGAACTGGCCAAGTCAGTTGTGATTAACACCAATCGGCTGGAATTGGTCCAACCACCCACCCACCCGAGTTGCAAGGGGCGTGCGGGGGGTCGAACCGCGTGGGTGCCCCCCCCCCCGTGCAAAAGGGGGGGTCTTCGAACTGGTGAGGGGGTCCACCCTGAGTTGCAAGAGGGGGGTCGAACTGGGCCCACCCCATGTGCAAGGGAGGGGTTCGAACTGCCCCCCCCCTCCCCATCACCGAATAGAATTCCAGGGCTCGCTCCTACTCTGTTAGAACCCTGCTACATCTGAATCCAGCTCTACTCGAATCCTACTGTAGTTGGATCCAGATCTCAGTGGATCTCGCTATAGCTCATTGCAGCTCTAATATAATCCTACCAGAGCTGCACCCAACTCTACTAGCTTCCTACTCGGGCACGATCCGACTCTAATTGAACCTCTGTCGGGCGGGTCGGTCTGGGCGGGCGGGGCATTAAACGCATGGTGTTCGCGTGCTCGGTCGCTCATTCGCTTGGCCACTCGAGCAAGCGTGCGAGCGAGCGAGCGGGCGAACGAGTCGGAGGACGGTTCGGGCCGGGCGGGCGGGTCAGTAAATGCATGGTGCTCGCCAGAACAAGCGAGCGAGCAAGCGAGGCAAGGGAAGGGAGGAGTCGGTCCTCTCGCTCGCTCGCTCGCTCGAGCAAGCGAGCCAGCGAGTCGGTCGGGTCGGGTCGGGCGGGCGGGACATTCAATGCATGGTGCTCGCTCGCTCGCTCGCTCGCTGGCTCGAGGAAGCGAGCGAAGGAAGGAGGTGGTCCTCTCGCCCGGTCGCTTGCTGGTGCAAATGAGGCTCGGTGCGAGCGGGCAGGACACCAAATGCATGGTGCTCGCTTGCTTGCTCGCTCGCTCGAGCAAGCGAGCGAGCGAGTCGGGTGGGTCATGTCGGGCTTGCAGGACATTGAATGCATGGTGCTCGCGTGCTCACGTGCTTGCTCGCTCGCTCGAGCGAACGAGCGAAGGAAGGAGGTGGTCGGTGCAATCGCCCGCTCGCTCGCTCGCTCGCCTGCTTGAGCGAGCGAGCGATCGAGGGGTCTGAGGCCCGCAGTGCTCGATCCAGCTCCAATCAATCCAACTGCCGCAAAATCCAGCTCTCACAAAATCCGACTAAGGCTCGATCCAGCTCGAATAAAACTGCCCACTGCCCAGTCCAGCCTTAATCGCCGCCTACCAAGGATCGATCATCGTCGTCGTCCTCTTCGTCGTGATCCTCGTCGTCGTGGGGCGCACGCGGGATGACGGAGGGTGCAGCTGGGGTGCAGGGAGTGCACGGTTTCCCTCGGGGCCGCAGGCGACCCGAGGAGGAGGAGGAGGAGGAGGAGGAGGAGGAGGAGGAGGAGGAGGAGGAGGAGGAGGAGGAGGAGGGGGGGGAGGGGGAGGGGGGGGTGAGGGGGAGGAGGAGGAGGGGGAGGGGGCGGAAGAGGGGAGGAGGAGGAAGGAGGAGGAGGAGGAGCAGCAGCAGCAGGAAGAGGGAGGAGGAGGAGGAGGAGGAGGAGGAGGAGGAGGAGGAGGAGAGGTCGCCCAAGCCCTTCGGAGAAACCCTCCAGGCAGGAAGAGGGGAGGGGCAAGGAGAGCACGAGGAGGGTTGAGGGAGGGAGCGCCCCCGTCTCCTCCGCCTTCCGCTCCTCTGCCCGCTCTCTCCCACCCCTCCCTCCATCTGCCCCCTCCTCAAGCCAGGCCTCAAGTGCAGTAGCGCGCGCGGCGCAGGGCACTCCCAATATGCCCCGGGGGCCCCTCCCCAGCGGGGAGGGATGGGGGGCCGTCGGGCCGTCCCTGGGCCGAGAGAGGGAGGGGCAGCAGAGGGAGGGAGGGAGGGAGGGAGGGAGGGAGGAGAGGGAGGGAGAGAGGGAGGGAAGGAGGAAGGGAGGAAGAGAGGGAGGGAGGGAGAGAGAGAGAGAGAGAGGAAGAGAGGGCGAATAGAGGGAGGAGGGAGAGAGGGAGGGAGAGAGGGAGGGAGGGAGGGAGGAACAGAGGGAGGGAGGGAGGGCGGGAGTAAGGGAGGGGCAGCAGACGGGCGGGCATGGGGCACAGGAGGGAGCAGGGCGGGAGGGGGGGGGAGCAGGGCGAGCGGAGGGAGGACGGGGGAGGAGGTGAGCGTTGTTGTATTCGGCGTTTCGACATTGGGCGGAAAGGGGGGGAAAGAGGGGGTCTGGCTCCAGACCTCTGCTTAGTGCGGCTGCGTGCGACCCGACCTGCTCGAAACGGGCGCTAAAAACAGCCAAGATCTACTCCATAAGGGGGGGAGGGAGGGGGGGTGCGAGGGCCCGCGCAGATCGGCAAAACCATGAATACAAAACGATCACGAGTGAGGACGGGGGAGGTTGTTTGTTGCATGTCGAAGCTGATCAAGCTGTGAGGCTGTCAGCAAGGAGGCTGGCACGCCACTCGCAGAGCAGCAGGCAGACTACGAGCGCTGCAGGGGCACCAAGGAGCTCTAAGAGCAGTGCCCTTCCCACTCCCCCCGAGATACGCAGAAGGCATCTATACACCACCACCGTGACAAGCCAGGGCCGTCCTGGCCCTGGCATGGTGTATACGCCCTCCTGGCCGAGGCCAGGAGGGTCTATAAACCATCCTAGGGCCCAGGACAGCCCTGGCCTGGCACGGAGGTGATCTATAGATGCCTTCGTCGGACGATGGCCCCAGACCCCTCCCAGGATCCACCCGGGCCAGCTCTCCGAGCCGCACCCATCCGTGGCGACAACGCGAACCTCCAAGGGCGCAGACAGAAACTCGCGAACGACGCCGCCATCGTCGCCGACAACCTCACCGCCGCCTCGACACGGAGGACACGGGAGCGCGAATGCATGGGGTGGCGATCAATGTGGGGGGAGAAAGGTGCCCTGTTCGGGCCCGAAAAGCGCCCGCAAGGGCCCCCGTTGGGGACCAGGGACCCTTCATGGACCCTTTTTGGGGCAGCCCTCGCCGCCCCCCCATCCGTCGCCCCCCTACGACGCGTCCTGCGAGGGTCCCGAGAGAAAGCGGGACTGGGGGCCCCGATGGGCGCTTCCCTCCTCCTCCTCCTCCTCCTCCTCCTCCTCCTCCTCCTCCTCCTCCTCCTCCTCCTCCTCCTCCTTCACAGAGGAGCCCGTGGGGCGGTGGAGAGAAGAAGCCTCTGGGCCCGCCCGCCCCGGGGCGAGGAGGTCGCCCGGGCGACCTCCTCCCCCAGCTCCGCGACGTCGATCACGTGGGGGTCGCCGGACTGCGCACACAGGGGGCAGAGCACGCCTGGCGGGCGTCGTCCTCGCGCTCCCCCCGCCCGTCGCCCCTCCCCCCCCCCTGCCCACGCCCAAGGCCGTCGTTCGTCGTCGAGGCGCGAGGGAGCGGAAGGAGAGGGAGGGGACGATGGGAGGGAGGGAGGGAAGGAGGAGGGAGGAGGGAAGGAGGAGGATAAGGAGGAGGAGAAGGAAACATGAGAAAAACAAAAAGAGGAGGACAGCGAGGAGGACGACGAGAAGGACGACGAGGAGGAAGAGGGAAGGAGGAGGGAGAAGGGGGGACGACGAGGAAGAAGAGACAGGGAGGCAGGGAGGAGAGAGAGCGAAGGGGAGTGGGCGTGGAGGAGAGAGGAGCGGGGAAGAGAACATCGAGGATAAGGAGGATGGAGCCGGGAGCACGGAGGAGGGAGGTGGAGGAGGAGGAGAAGGACGAGGAAAAAGGATGAGGAGAGAAGACGGAGGGAGAAGGGAGTTCGGAGTGTTTATTTGTGTTCGAGGGTGCTCAAGATGTTATATTTGAGTTGTCGGCTGTCTAAAAGGTTCTCAACAGTTTTCGGGAGGGGGAGGAGGGAGCAGGGAGCAAGGGGGAGGAGGGAGCAGGGAGCCAGGAGCAGGGAGAGCAGGGAGCAGGGAGCAATCTGGCGCAAACTCTCGCTGAAAACACCTCACGAGGACTGGACCGACAAGACTCGTCTCGGGACCTTCAAAAAGCGGAGGCAGGCCCGAGGTCCACCGAGCTCGAGTCTTCCTCAGGGGCAACGATAAGGGGGGAAACTGGCCCCAAGGAAACGACGATGCATCGCCGACAGACCAGTCATAGACCCCCGATGGCCAGACCGCACGTTCCTGGGCGGGGTGGGGCTAAAAAACGGCCCCAGGGAGCCCCAGTAGATTCCCCAAAGCCCTTCAACATCAAAGACAATGAGTCGCCTTTTGTGTTTGCACGATGTGAGGATATTCACCCTCTCCGTCTTCAGAGCGTCCAAGCTGGCCACAGAAGCGCCCAAGAGCGATCCGAGACGCTCCAAAAGGCGTGGAGAAGGGCCCCAAGAGGGCTCCAGGAGGGCACGAGAAGGCCCCAAGAGCTCCAACGGGCCTGAGAGGGCCATAAGTTAACCCCCAGAACGCCCCAAGACGCCCCGAGAGTGTCCAACAAGGCCCTGGACGGCAAAGGGAAGACCCAAGAGGCGCCCAAGAGCGTTCCCAGACTAGAGGAAGAAAACACTATAAACACAAACTTTTGGCGCTCTGCGCGGATTTCTTGGATCGACGTTGGACCCCCCTCCCTGGTGCGCGGAGCGCGCCAGGGGCGGCGCAGGAAGGGGCGGCGGGGGGGGGCCAGCCCGGATCCAAGAAATCCGCGCGGAGCGCCAAAAGTTTATGTTTATGGCGTTTCTTCTTCTTCGAAAGGCGCCCCAGAAGGCGCGGAAGAGGGCCCCAGGAAAGGGCGCAAGAGAGCCCCCATGGGGGCCCCATGCAGAAGCGCCTCAGAGGGCCACAAGACACCCCAAAAGCCCCCCAAGACGCTTCGAGAGGGCGGCCCCGACGAGGCTCTCCGGACCTCCCCGAGGAAAGGCCGGGTGCGGGCCCCCAGGGGGAGGGGAGGGGGGCACCTCCATGGACAGAATCCGCCGACCCCCGCTTGCCGGGCGGGGGGGGTCTGCGCGCAACCCGAAGCCCTCATCCGATCGTTTTCCGAGCGAAATCCGACCTGCGATGTTGGCGCCAATAGGCGCCAATAGCTCCTCCTGCTCCTCACCCTCCTCCTCCTCCTCCTCCTCCTCCTCCTCCTCCTCCTCCTCCTCCTCCTCCTCCTCCTCCTCCTCCTCCTCCTCCTCCTCGTCCTCCTCGTCCTCCTCCTCCTCCTCTAGCTCCAAGCCCCGCCCGATGCCGGCATTGCCCCCGGGCCTGGTGGGGGCCCCCGAGTTGTAAGCCGAGCGCGCGAGAGGGCCCTCCGCCGCGAAGGCGTGTGAGACATTTGGCGCCCCCCCTCCCCCTTTCCCCCCCCCGGGTGGTCCAAAGTGCACGTGGGGGGCCCAGCTCCGCAACGCATATCCCCGCGGCCTCCAGAGCTTCTCCACAATCCCGAGACGGCGCGCATGAGGTCCAAAACAGGCGCACGAGGTCCAAAACAGGGGCACAAGATGGCCCCAAGATGGCCCAAGAGGCCTCCAAGACACCCCAAGACGCCTCCAAGAGGTCCCCCAAGAGGGCCCCAGGAGGCAAAAATCAGTGATTTACCTTTCGTAGGTTGAATTGATTAAAGATTTTGGCGTTCTCGCCGTTCCGGCTTTCCGACGCTCCAAGACGGCCCAAGAAGACCCGAAGACCACTCCAAAACAACCCAAGAGGCCTCCAAGAAGGCCCCAAAACGGCCCAAGAGCGCCACAAGACGGCCGGAGAGGCGTCCAAGACGGCCCAAGAGGGCCCCAAGACGGCCCCTAAAAGCGCCCAAGATTGGGAACACGAACGGAAAATCTGAGCCTTGGGCCCCAACAGGCCCCCAGGAGGCCCCAAGAGGCCCCCAAGAGGCCTTAAAGAGGCCCCAAGAGGCCTCAAAACGGCCCCCAAGAAGCCTCCAAAATGCCTCCAAGAGGCCCCCGAGGGGCCTCCAACAAGATCCCAACGAACATCCAATACTATTGGATGTTCGAATTGTGGGTATGACGCCTATTGAACAGGCGTCATACCCACAACTCGATGATCGTGCCCCTCCTCTTCTGTTCCTTCCCTCTTCCCCCCTTCCCTTTTCTGAAGGAGGCCCCTGAGAGGCATCCCACGAGCCCCTCAAATGCATCCAAGAAACTCCGACCCACCAGATAACTTCCAAGATCGTCGCACGCACTCGCTCTTTCTGGGGGTCAGCGGAACGGCACAAGCCACTTGAATACAGAATGGCGGACGGCAAGGGTCAACAACAATTGAGGGGCAACGATAACGGGTGTCTGGCATAGGGAGGGGGGAAACATCGACCTGGAATCGCCGATACATCGCCGTTGGATCGGCGATAGGCCCCCGACAGTGAGTCCGCACCTTCCTGGGCAGGTTTGGGCTGTTCGGGCCCCCATCGGCGATCAATGGGCGATTGGGGGTCGACGCATCCCCCCCATATGATTACAGTGCGGGCGCGGCCGCAAGAAACCCTCGCAAGAAACCCAACCCTGAAAACCCGCCTGGGGGCTGCACCTAGAGGGGGGACCCAGAGCACCCTGAACGCAGCAGCTTCCTCAACGGCCGCGGGAAACCACCGCGCAGCGCGCGGAGCAAAGAAGCCCAGGGCTCCCGGACGAAAAGCACATGGCCTCTTGATGCGCGCCCCCACTGTATCCCCCCCCTGCTATTGTTGCCCCTGATAGAGGGCAAAAAATCCACCCCCATAATAACCACCCCGACAAGCGAGGCCGCTCAGTAAACGCACCCGAAGAAGGAATCAAACAGGGCAGGGCTGTTTAGTAAACGCCCAAGGCCGTTAAGTAAACTGCCAATTGTCCGGCCCGGGTGGTTTTTACTCCGCTGACTTGAGCTACATTCTTCAGACGTGGGCGCTCGACAGAAACGGCGGCCCGGGTTGGGGGGGGAGGTGAGAAAGCGCGGAGCGGCGCGGCGCTGCGCGGGCGGAGGCGCCCGCGGTGAAGGAGACGTGCGGCAGCCACTCGGCGGTGCTGGTCTGCACCAGGTTGATGACCTGCCGCGCCAGGCCCAGCGGCAGCGAGGGCGGGCTCCCCGGCTCGCCTGGGATCGGCCGCCGAGGGGCCCCGGCGCGGGCTCGTCGCCTCCTCCTCTCCCCGATCCCCTACCCTCCTGGCAAAAAAAAAATCGTTGTGGTCACCAGCAGCAGCATCGTCATCGTCGTAAGCACCGCCTCCATCCTCTCAGCCATCGTCACCATCATCATCATCCCTCCATCATCATCCCTCCTCCTCCTCCTCCTCCTCCTCCTCCTCCTCCTCCTCCTCCTCCTCCTCCTCCTCCTCCTCCTCCTGGGCCCTCCGCCTGGGCCCTCCCCCTCCGCCCTTATCCCTCCCCACCCTCTCCCGCCAACCTCCCTCCCCTTTCACTCTCTCCCCCTCCCTCCCCTATCCCCCTCCCTCCCTCCTTCCCCCTCCATCCCTCCCTCATCCTCCCCCATCCATCCCTCCAACCTCCTCGCTGCACGTTGCACGCACACATCCGAAGCTCATGCCAATCAAAAGTATCATCAACTCTTCCTCGATGAAGCCTGGCCCGGGCAGATAAAGGACGCGCACCCACACGGAGAAAGAGGCGGGACGGTCAACAGGGAGCAAGCGGGTCCTGGCAAGCTGTCCAATCCTCCTAATCACGCTCCTCCTCCCACTCCTCCTCGCACTGCTCCTGCTGCTCCCCTTCTCCTCATCCTCCTCATCCTCCTCATCCTCCTCCTCCTTCATCCTCCTCCTCCTCCTCCTCCTGCTCATCATCATCATCAGCAGCAGCATCAGCATCATCATCAGCACCATCATGAGGTCGCCGTCGTCGTCATCATCATCACCACCACCATCATCATCACCACCACCACAGTCACCATCAACAGCAGCAGCACGATGGTCACCACCGCATTAACATCAGAACCATCAACATCTGTAGCAGCATTATCGTCAGCTTCATCATCATCAGCAGCAGCAGTATCATCACCATCATCAACAACAAAGTCATCATCATCACCACCACCACCAATACCACCACCACTACCATTACCATAACCATCATCTTCATCATCAGCATAATCAGCATCGCCACTGCCACCACTACCATCAGCATCAGCATCAACATCGGCATCACAATCGTCATCATCAGCATCATTATCAACATCATAGTCATCAGCATTATCAGCAGCATCATCACCACCACCACAACCATCACCATCATTATCATCAACATCAGCATCCGCATCAGCATCAGCATCAGCATCCGCATCAGCATCAGCATCATCATCATCATCAGCAGCAGCAGCAGCAGCTGCATCACCATCCCCATCACCATGACCGGTATCATCATCATCATCATCATCATCATCATCATCATCATCAGCATCATCATCATCATCATCATCATCATCATCATCATCATCATCATCAGTATCATCGTCAGCAGCATCACTTTCATCAGAAGCACCATCAATATCGTCGCAATCAGCATCATATGAGCATCGTCATCATCATCTTCGTCGTCATCATCAGCATCGTCACCATCACCATCACCATCACCATCACCATCACCATCAGCACAACCCATCAGCATCATGATTGTAGGTATCAGCATCATCAGCATCACCGTCGTCATCATCAGCATAATCCGCATTATCAGCATCATCATCATCAGCAGCAGCATCAGCATCGCCATAATCAGAATCATCATCACCATCAGCATCGGCATCATCATCATTATCATCACCAACACCATAACCACCATCATCACCACCACCACCACGACCACCAACACCATCATCATCAACATCAGCATCATCATCAGCGTGAGCATCAGCAGCATCACCATCGTCATCAGGATCATCATCATCAGCAGCAGAGCAGCAGCAGCAGCATCAGCATCAGCATCATCATCACCATCATCAGCAGCATCAGCATCATCATCATCATCAGCATCATCATCATGATCATCATCATAATCATCATCAGCAGCATCATCATCATCAGCAGCATCATCATCAGCATCATCATAGATGCCCTCCTGCGCCAATATCCCGCCTACTCATCCTCCTTCTCTTCCTGGCCATCGACACCACAATCCTCCACCGCATCAGCATTATCAGCAGCAGCAGCAACATCATCATCGTCATCGTCAGCATCATGAGCGTCGCAATGATCAGCATCACCATCATCACCATCACCATCCTCGCCGTCAGATCAGCAGCATCATCATCATCAACAGCAACATCATCAGCAGCATCAACATCATCAGCATCATTATCATGATCATCACCGTCATCGGCGTCACCGTCGTCGTCGTCGTCGTCGTCGTCGTGGTCGCCAGCAGCAGCAGCAGTACCATCAGCTCAATCATGAACATGACCGCCAGCAGCATCATCATCAGCATCATCATCATCATCACCATCATAAGCATCATCAGCATCATCATATCATCGGCATCATCATCAGCAGCATCACCATCAATGTCATCATCATGGTCGTCCCCCTCCCCCCTCAAGCACATCCTCCACATCCTCGTCCTCATCATCCTCCTCTCCATCCCTCCCGCCCGCCCTCCCTCCCTTCCCTCCCCCTGCTCATCATCCGTCCACTCCTACTCCTCCCCCTCCGCGTTCGCCTCCTCACCATCATCATCAGCAGTAGCATCATCACCATCAACATCATCATCCTCATACCCACCATCACCATCATCCTGATCATCATCAGCATTGTGGTCGCCGTCGTCATCATTCTCTTCCCAAGCCTGCTCAACCTCCGTGTCCTCCTCCTGTCCGTCCGCATCCGCCCCGCCAACGTTCACCTCATTATCAGCATCGTCAGCATCAGCATCAGCAGCATCATCACCTTCATCATGATCAGAAGCAGCAGCAGCAGCAACAGCATCAACATCAGCATCATCATCAGCAGCAGCATCCCCATTGTCATCAACAACATCACCAGTATCAACAGCATTGCAAGCAGCAGCATCATTACCGTTATCGTTTGTTTCATCCTCGTCAGCATCAGCAGTAGCATCATCATCACTAGCATCATCACCAGCATAAGCATTCCCAACATCATCGTCATAATCATGATCAGCATCATTTTAATATTGGTAATCATCATCATCATCATCATCATCATCATCATCATCATCATCATCATCATCATCATCATCGGCATCAGCATCGTCATCAGCAGCAGCAGCAACATCATTCTCCTCATCCTCCTCCAACTCCTCCTCATCATCAGCAGCATCTGCATCAGCATCATCATCATCATCATCAGCAGCATCATCATCAGCATCGTCATCATGACGGTGGTCGCCGACGTCATCACCAGTCGCGTTCCCAAGATGTCGCCGAGTGTCCGTCCGCATCCGCCTAAATCGTCGTCATCATCACCATCGTCATCGGCATAACAATCATCATCATCATCAGCATCATCATCATCATCAACATCATCATCCGTATGCGCATCATCACCATCACCATGAACAGCACCATCACCATCAACAACATCCGAGGTGTCAGCAGCATTGACGTCGTCATCATCATCATCATCATCATCATCATCATCATCATCAGCATCAGCATCAGCATTATCATCATCAGCATCACCGTCACCATCCTCATCATCATCATCAGCATCATCAGCATTAGCATCATCATCACCATCATTGTCATCATGGTGACCATCAGCATTGGCATTGACAGCATCGTCGCCAGCAGCAGCATAATCACCAGTTTCACCAGTCCACCATCGTCGTCATCATCACCACCCATCAGCATCAGCAGCATCAGCTGTCAACTCAGCATCATCACAACCACCAAAATCATCATCATCATCATCATCAGCATCATCATCATCATCATCATCATCATCCTCATCATCATCATCATCATCATCACTAGCAACAGCATCATCATCGCCATCGCCGTCGCCATCGTCGATCATCGTCATCGTTATCGCCGTTGCCACCATCAACCGTATCATGGTGGTCAGTAGCCCCACCATCATCATCACCATCACCACGGTCGTCGTCAGCATCGTCATCAGCATTATCAGCGGCACCATTACCAGTGGAGCCATCGTCGTCGCCGCCGTCGTCGCTACCATCAGCTTAGCCGTGCTCCACCCCATCAGTATCGTCATTACGTTCGGCATGATCATCATCATCAGCATCACCACCATCGTCATAAGTATCAGCATCAGCAGCATCAGCACCATCATCATCATCGTCATCATCACAAGTATCGTCATCATACTCAGCATCGCCATCATCATAAGCATCATCCGTACCCTCATCATGCGCGTGTGTGTTCCCATCACCTCGTCCTGATCACCGCCTCTCCGCATCCTCCCCTTCCTCCTCATCCTCCTCCTCCTCGTCCGCCTCCGCCTCCGCCGTCGCTTCCTACTCATGCTCCTCCTCTTCCTCCTGATCCTCCTTCCGATCAGCATCAGCAGCAGCAGCATCATCAGCATCATCATCACCAACCATCAGCATCACCAGAAGCATCATCAGCATTATCATCATCAGCATCAGCATCATCTTCATCATCATCATCAGAAGCATCATCATCATCAGCAGCATCATCATCATCATCAGCATCAACAGCAGCATCATCACGAGCATCATCATCAGCAACATCAACTTCGTCATCAAGATCATCATCAGTATCATCCTGAGCATCAGCATCAGCATCATGATCGTCGTCAGCATCAGCATCATGATCCACATCCTCGTCCTCATCGTCATCATCATCATCATTATCAGCATCATCATCATCGTGACCATCATCATCGTTGACGTCATCAGCATAAACATTAACAGCATCAGCATCAGCATCAGCATCAGCATCAGCATCAGCGTCATCAGCACCATCAGCACCAACATCATCATGATCATCAATCATGGCCATCATGCTGGTCATCATACTTAGCATCAACAACATCCTCATCAGCAGCACAATGATCATCAGTACAATATGTCCGCCAGCCCCGACATCATTATCACCACCTTGAGCCTCAGCATCATCCGCCTCTCCATGCTCATCAGCATGA